TCAAGAGTTTTTCTTCACTTTTTTGCTTACTTGACGACTCTTTTTCTTTAGAGAAAACCTATTTTAATTGTTGCCTTAAAGTGCTTTGAAAAGGTTTTTAAATAAGGCTCAAAATCCTACTCGAATTACATTTCCAAATTTTAGTCTCCATTTTGGTCATGCACCTTTCTTGCGATGTCGCGACGCCCATGCATCCATGGCCATAGTGCCCAAGGTTCTATCTTGTCTTTTCTTCCCTTTTACAATCCAACTTGTGATGCAATTTTCTTTTTCTTCCAAGTTGAGTTGGATAAAGTGATAAACATAAAAGTTGTAGACTTGTCTCTTAGCTTTCCATTGCTCAAGAATCATATCAATTGGACTTCTGGAATGAGAGTTATGCTCAAAATATTAGAAAACATCGACCTTATATGCATTATTCTTTAACAATTGAAGCCCTTTTCCTTTGTACACTTACCAAAGCAACTAAATAATAACTAAACTAAAAGCACACTATCATCAAACTAAAATAAAATAACTTAAATTAAATTAACTCGACATGATTTACTAAATTAAGACAAATAAACAAAAATACCTAATTCCTAAACTAAATATCAAGAATTTAACCAATTTAATACTTAAAATGTGTCAAAATAACTCTATAACATAGAGTTATCACACTCTTAAACTTAACATTTTGTTAGTGCTCGAACAAAAACATAAAAGCAACTTTAAACACAAGAAAACATGCAAATGATAAAAACAATTTAAATAAAAACAAACAACTAAATAGAACAACTATCTAAAGATAGGTTTCAACAAATCAATGATATCTCATAATTTCCTCAAAAGTTATCTCGAAATCTCAACTTAAGTTAAAATAGAGACATCATTCAAATTCATAATTCAATTCAAATGCAAGCTTATTCTCAATCGGATTTTTGTGTGTGCGTAATCTTTTACAAAGAATATCATGCAATTTAGATAAGTTTATGCTTATGCAAAATTTGAATTAGACAGGAATCCCATAGGTTTGCTTTTTATCTATCTCTCTCCCTCTCTCCACTAATGTAGACTAACACTTAATCAAGTATCCTTAGGACTTTATTTAGCTTGCAATGAATGGTTAAGGTCAAGGTAGGATAAAAGATATTTTTATAAAACTTAAATCACCTTAAGCACATAATTATTCTAGCACCTTTGTAGAGCTTAAATCATACTCCAAGTAACACCTTTTTTTTTTTTACTTTGAAACTTTTCTTTTGTCCAACACTTTATTCTTTTTCTTTTCTTTTTTTTTTTTCATCACAATTCTATGCCTCCAAATTTATTTCTTTTTAATATAAAAAATGGGCTAAATGCTAAGCACAATTGAATTTTTTCATCAACTCTATGTTCTTTTTATTCAACATTTAGCTCAATACATTTTTAAAAATTTTTAACATACTTAGGAATGAGGGATGCAAAATGGAAACTTATGTGTTTAACAAAAAAAAAAAAAAGGTAATATTAGGCTCAAAGGGGTATAGTAGATATAAAAATATATCAAGGTAGGCTTGAAAGGCTCAAATAGTCCAATGATGGCCTAATTCATTTCCTTAACTAAGTATTGCCTAAGATTTCACTTCAAGAGAGAATCAAATAAATTTTAGAATTCATGAAATAATCAAAATTCACATCAATATGAATCGTCTTTAAATATGCACAACAATTTTAAAAAAAAGATAAAATGCTTAATTAATGAAAATCTTATTCTAACAATGATACTTAACATCAGAATTTCACACAAACTCAAACAATATCCATATTTACCAAAAGCAAAAGACCAAAAGATAACTAAGTTCTCATCATTAGATAGGAAAATCGTTCAAAAATTAGCATAACCAACTCTAACTTAAAATTCTTAAACCAAAATATAAAGAAAAGTAAATGATAAATAACTAATAACTTAACACCTAAAAAAATAAATACAAATAAATAAATAAAAACATAACTCAATAAAAATGAAACTCTAGTTTATTAAAAAAATTCAAGCTTTCCCCCAAACTTAAATTTTACATTGTTCTCAATGTTAAAGGTTAGAAAAAAAAAGTAAAATACTCCCATGCCCTTAAGTTTTAGTAGAAATTTCAAGCGGGTCTTTTAGTTTTTGAAATGGATATTCTACCTAAAAAATGCAAGCACCATTAACAGAGATTAAGAAAAGACTAAAATACCTTTTTTTAAAAAAATTAAAAAATTATTATTATATTTTTTTAAAAAAATTTAAAAAAAAGGGAGCACCAACTAGTGAAGGTGCTCCTTGAGGGATGGGAGCATCAATGCTCCCATAGGGAGCCCGTTTGGTGCTCCCAATTTAGGGATTTTTTTAATAAATAAATAAATAAATAAAATTATATAGTAGTAATTTTAAAAATTAATCAATGATAAAATTATCGTTTTACCCTTGCCACATCATCAAATTGACGATAACATTAACAGTTGACTAATAGTTGGACTTAAGTATCTAGGGAAAAATATTTTTTTAGGACGGAGTATCCATTTTGAAAACTAATAAATGTCTGTATAATTTTGATTAAAATGTTGGTGGTGAGGGTATTTTGTTAAGTGAGGGCTAATCATGCATTAAATGCAAATAAAATGCAGTAAAAATAAATTTAAAATTAAATTATGTCTCACCTTCCTCGGATCTTTTTCATGCCAATTGAGTACAGAATCAAATTAAAAAATAAAATATATATGATCATATCAAGCTTACCTAAATAACAAAGGTTGATGAATCTTTTATTAAACCACCAAATCAGCCTTCAAAAGTTCAACCACCTCGGCTTGGTTGGTGCAAACCAAAACTGTCCAAAGAATCCTTGTGCAGCCTCTAATGGTGATCCATACTAATGAATTAGAAAATTCTTCTTTAAGGATTGGGAGTGTTATGCCTGACAATGTGCTAGCAAAGATGA